TTAAAGTCAATGGGACTGATCACAAATGTAAAGTCATGCACATGTTCGAGTACTTTGATGGATCTGGGTATAAAGGTATTTTATCAAGAGAACACTACAGCTGACTCTGCTTACACAGAGTAAACGTCACTGTCACATTTTATATAAGCACTTGTGCACCCTTTTGGTCTTTTCTGGATCATGCTCATTTTGGTTGAATTTCTTGTTTCAATTAATTGCCCCATGTATTACTGAGCCAATATGTTAAATGTGGCTGTATGGCAGGCTGTGATGTGTGCAGTGAAGAACTCAATTAGTATGCACATGACAAAATAATGAAGGGTTCAGCTCCTGAAGCAAATAAGCAGGCAATGCAAATCAGAATGATGCAAATTTTAGTTATTCTTTCCCTTTTATTTTTTTAAGTTGAACAAAAAACGATTGTAAATTAAAACGTAAGACGTAGAGGCCAAATTCAAGCTTTGTGCCAGTTTCATTGAAATGAAGTGCCCTGTAATGATGAATAAGCATAAGAATGGCCATACTGGGTCAGACCAAAGGTCCATCTAGCCCAGTATCCTGTCTTCCGACAGTGGCCAATGCCAGGTGCCCCAGAGGGAATGAACAGAACCGGTAATCATCAAGTGATCCATCCCCTGTCACCCATTCCCAGCTCTGGCAAACAGAGGCTAGGGACACCATCCCTGCCCATCCTGGCTAATAGCCATTGATGGACCTATCCTCCATGAACTTATCCAGGTCTTTTTTGAATCCTGTTATAGTCTTGGCCTTCACAACATCCTCTGGCAAGGAGTTCCCCAGGATGACTGTGCATTGTGTGAAAAATACTTCCTTTTGTTTGTTTTAAAACAGTGTTATTTAAAGCAGTGTTATTTTGAGCTCATTGTTGTCTGCAGCCCAGGTTACAGGTACTTGCACACATCATATTAGACAATCACCTGTCAGGAATGGTCTAGATTAGGGAGAGAGCAACCTATGGCACGCGTGCCAAAGGCGCCACGTGAGCTGATTTTTCAGTGGCACTCACACTGCCCGGGTCCTGGCCACCATTCCGGGGGGCTCTGCAATTTGCCCCAGGCCCTGGGTTCCGCAGAGGTCCCCACAAGAATATAGTAGTCTATAATATTGCAACTTTTTTTTAATGGAAGGGGCCCCAAAAATTGCTTTGCCCCAGGCCCCCTTAATCCTCTGGGAAGCCCTGCTCTAATCTGGGCCAGAAAACCAGCCCAACATAGATTCGGCCAAGGATCGGGGGTCTCCTTCTCCAAGGCTGTCAAGGTGTGGGAGTACTACAGAGGGGCTGTGCTCCGTTCCTGGTGGAGTGAGGAGGGAGCACCTGACATTTGTTTCTAGAAACTCTCTCTGGCTGATGGAAATTGCTGCTGTCACTGATCTCAGAGTGAGCCATATCTGGCTTTGGACTACTTTAGAGAATTCTTAGAGAGGCTGAGGGGGAGAAGTAAAAATAGCTCAACTAACTCTTCTGGAAGGCAAAAGAGGATTAAGAGAAAACTGCAAAGCCCCCCACTTACCAACACCAGAACTCCGCACATTAGTTTTCAGTACAAAAGGAAAAAAACACAGTGAGGCAAGACAAAAATAGAAATGACAGCAGTCACATCTTCTCCTTAGCCAAGGCGGTGGGTGCGTATGCATGATTGCATGCATTGTGTTTTTACTAAGCACAACAACCCAGGTCATGTATCTCATTTCTCTGGGTATGAAACTGTCCAGCAGCCCTTATATTCTCTCACTCAGCACTGTACTCTGTCTCATGACCAAAGAAGCAAAGAGACCAGCCCAAGCCAAAGAGCCTTTGATCAATGGTAGAGAGTGGTGTGCCTGCGGGACACAGTTGGAATTTGTGCTTTCTGTGTTGTATCTCACACACGGTCCCCAATCCTGCCCTTACTTACGTGGTTATCTTTAAGCACATGAATAGTTCCATTGAGTTCTCATTGAGAGGTGATGAGATGTAGTGGTTTGCTTTATTTACTTCACTTTCACAGTGTGTTTCCATTTCTTAAAAGCATAGTGTGGGAACCCATCTGTTTATTAGAATAAACAGCAAAATTGCAGATTATCTACAGTCGGTGTTTATCTATGTTGTGTTAGACGTGTGCATGCAAACATATAAATAACCACTTTTGAAATTAACTTTGAATGTTAATTGGATTCATTCTCTTTTAATGTCTGATGTATTTAGTATGCATCACCACTGCCTCTTTTTTTTTAATGGCTCCTTTGGAAGCCTGTTTGGCCAATATTGATGATTATGCTTGCATTAAGAACCCATTACTCTATATTAGCATAAACTCCAGCATAGGAGATTGAATGACAAAAGAAATCAAACTGAAAGACCAGAAAAATGATGTATTTGACAGCCAACCTTTAACCTCAAGCATAGAGGTTGGGAACTGTTTCCTTGGCAACTGTGCTGAAAATCAAGAGCCATCATATTCAATATAATTGAAAAGTCCTTGTTAAATAATGTTGTTTCTCTGGTGTTTCTTCTGGTCTGTATTGTGTATTTTAAGTGGCAGTAAATAACTAAGTATAGATACAAATGCAAAAATAGGGGGGTGTATACACATAGGTACATGCACTCTGTATTTGATTGAAAGGTGCACCTTCATCATGCAAACTACAGTGGAAAGCAACTACATTTAACAGATGTCACAGCTTTTAAATGCAAATATATAATATATGTATATTTCTTTATTTGTAATGGACTGTATTAATCTTATTTTATAAAGAAGAATTGCATTCAGAAGTAGATTTGTCAAAATAAAATATTTGTGGCTAGTTTCCTTGGGAGGAGCCAAGAAACATAGTTTGGAAAATGTTTAATCCATTATGTAATGTAAGAGTGAGGAGACTGAGAAACTGCTGGAAGAATAAGTCAACATTTTTTCATGACAAAAGGCTCAGAGTGTTGGCTAAATAGTGCCTTTGGTGGTTGTCATATGCCAAAGTGCAAGGATTAACCTCCTGCTAAACAGGGCATGAAAGAACAGCTCTAACTGTCTTCAGTATTTCATTTATGAAAAGGTTTTTGTGCCTGAGTGCTGTTTATATCAGTTACATACATGTATCCTGGTCCAAGTTCACACTACCCATTCATTTACAGAAAATGTGTGATATCAGAACTGCTCTTCTTTTGATGTGCTGTTTTTAGAATCTTAGGTCATGTTTCTGGTGAACACTTGTACCATTACATTCCTACTTTAGCAATGGCTGTGGGTCTATATTTAACCAAATGGGATCAAATGATACTGATCTCCTTTGTAGAGTGCTTTGACATCTACTGATGAAAATATAATATAAAGAGCACTAGGTATTATTTATGTATTATTATTGCAATTTTAGTCAAGAAATAGTTACAGCACAGAAAGAAGAAATGAAAGCATTCATACTCTGACTCACCATTTTGCCCAGAAAGACTGACCCACCTCTGATAGGGAGAAGGTAGTTCAGTCTCTCCATGAATCCCTGCATAGAACTTCTTCTCTACTGTGTGTTCCATAGCTCAAGGGCTTTATGAAAAATGAATTACTCATAATGCAGTGGCTTGCTAGAAAAACTGAGCTGTCAATATGTGCTTGACAACAGATTATGCATGCAGCAATGGATATTAGAGTCTTAGAAACTGAGAGGGCCAAGAAATATTTGTTATGCTAAAATCTCCCCTCCCTCTCCCTAGTGGCACACTCAGAACTGATAAAAGGAAATATTTGTTCACACAACATGTAATTAGACTGAGGAACTCACTGCCACAGGATGTTGCTGAGAGCAAAAACTTAGCAATTTTTAAAGGGGATTGGATATTTTAAACAATTAATGATGACAAAAATGTTAGAAGGGAGATTTAACCTCATGCTTCAGGGTTAAACCAATCAGTAACTATTGGAGACCAGGATGAGACTGAGCACCTGGGGGCAGGGAGGGTAGATTATCCCACAGCTGCTTAGTATGGAGTTCTTATACCTTCTTTTGCAGCATCTGGGACTGGTCACTGTCAAAGCCAGAATAGTCGACTAGATGGACCTTGGGTCTGTTCCATTGTGGCTATTTCTATACGATTAATCTGTCATAGCCTCTTTTTTTTATTCTATTCTCTAGCAACTGCTACATCTATCTTACCAACCCTCCTTTCCAATCTTCCCCTTAGCTTTCACTCTAGCAGCAGTGTTAACCCAGCTACCACCCCAAGGCACGGATAGTGCCTGTGCAGTAGTCCCCTGTCAAAGCTTTGAATCTGTAACACTGAAAAGAAAGAGAGCCTAGAAATGAAATTTCCATTCTGGTTACTTCAGTAACCTCTCTAGGAGCAGCATCAGTGCTCCAGGGATTTGTTTTAGCAGGTCACTGTAAGACTACGTGAAAAATGTCTTAGAGGTAAAATATAGAGAAATGCCATTTATTTAACAGCATCCCCTCCTGACCTGAATACAGCAGTTGGCTTTCTCACTGCTTCCCTGGTTCTTTTTTGTTGCAGGCATGGCATGTATTTATACAGTTACTTCTCCACTGCAGTTTGCTTTTTTTTTTGCTTGAATAACATAAATGAAGGTGACAGCTACCCATGATACATTTGGGCCTGGTATTTGGTGAAGCATGAACACACAGTGCATGCTGCAATTTAGCTTCTGGTCTATGGTCTGTGCTCTGTAGTTCGTATGAGGTCTCCAACATCAGGTTCATTGCTTTTTTCATTACTGTTCGGCATGAGTAGAGGATTTGATGGAAGAGTAGGTTCTCATTATAGCAGATCTATTAGAACTTTTGGTTTGATTTTATTAATTTGTAACCCCCAAGGAGATTACCTAGATTCCTGGGGCTCTATCTGCTGGCAGCTCAGGGAGAGGCACACTGTCCCTGGTAGGGAGGGGGAGTCAAGGCAGACTCAGAGTCTTCCCGGCAACCAATAGGGAGTGAGATGCCCTTCCCAGGGAGTTCAGGAAAGGGGAGAAGCCATTTTTGAGTCAGTCTGGAGCCAGCCAGGGCAAGGGCAGGACTGGCTGTGTGGGGAGCTGGTGAGTCCCAGGCCTGCATGCAGGGTTCCCCCTGAGAACTGGCCTCTAGGGACCTGAAAGCAAGATCCCTCAGTTGGGCTTTTCCCGCTCCACTGATGACTCCAAGTTTGGAGAGTTTTGCTGGGAAACTTCCCCAGCCAGGCTGAGTTAGCCCTCCATCTCCCTGGGTGAGACCAGTCACCACATGGTCAGCTCTGCTCTGGCTGCTAGTCCAGGGCTGCTGCCTGCTGTGTGTGTGTCTGGATGCTGGGCTAGGAGACTACAGTTTGGATTTTAGTACAGGTGTGTAATCTGCACCTTGCGCCCTGCACCCTTTTGTGGTGAGGGGAAATCCTGGGATCAGAAGCAACCTGACTCCTGCCTGAAGAGGATCCCTGCCAGCAGAGATCAGCCCCTCTGCAGTGACTGAGGAGTCCAGAGTCATCTCTGAACCTGAGGATCATTCATGGAGGTTGTGAGTGCACCATCTTTTAGTTAGTCAGGGAACTTGTTTTGGGGACCCCCTACTCCCTGAACTGTGTCCTCAAGCCAGGGAGGAAGGGTTTGGGGGTTTTATAACCTGCTGCATATTAAACCTGTGGAGGGACTCACCACCTTCTCCTACTTGTGAGTCCTTTGGGCTGTTCTGAACCCAGTCAGCCACACTTCTAGACCACTGCAGAGTAGAATTTTGTAGTCATAGATCATCAAGGGCCCCAACAAAGTACGCATACCAATGGGACACTAATCTTCTATCTGCTACATCAGGTCACGTGACTGGGGAAACTCACCGGTATTATCAGCGTGGGCACCGGTGACCCTAAGAATAGTGTTTTACCCTGTTATATTTGTCTCCTGTTTAATATAATTTTTGTGTTGAATATATTGTATGTGTTTGTGTTATTTCTTGGGAGTCTCCAGCTATCTGGCAAGTAAGTGGGGATTACCCTGTGATTAGAATTTTCCTCCCAAGCTGCCCCTGCCAGGAAGGAGCGCGGGAGGTGGAGGTACCCCCAAATAAATTCATAGGAAAAAATAAAGAAGATGCACCCTGCTGAGTGGGTGGCGGGATCCAGAGCAACCCAGACCTGTCCATCAAAACCTGTAAGCAGATTGGCATTAAAGAAGGTAACCTAGTGGAGAGGGGGTGCTACAAATTAACCTAGCTATCTGTGGTATTTATATGTGCCCCCCATGACTGTAGTATCTGAGCATCTATCCTCTCAATTCCCCATGAGGTTGGGCAAAGCTATTACCCCATTTTATAGATGGGGAATTGAGGCACAGAAAGACTAAGTGACTTTCCCAATGTGACACAGGAGGTCTGTTGCAGAGCAGGGAATTTAGTACAGGTCTCTTGAACCCCAGGCTACCACACTATCCACTGATCACCTATCTTTTCTTATTGTACAGTGGGTATGAATATAAAGTTTTGTTCTACAGGCAAACCTTTTATATAGTCTTTCACTTATAAATCTACAACCATGTCCTTACCTGGAGTAAATGGCATAGCTTCACAGAAATCAATGGAGCAACATCAATTTATACCAGCTGAGGATCTGGTGCACTGTGTATGGATCAGTACAGAGCAGATGATCGTAAAGCCTCATGACATAAAGCCTATAAAATCTTATGCCTGAAGTAGAGAAGTGACTGAATAGGGAGATGACAGCCAAGAAGGAGAGCTCCCCTTATTAAATATTTCTTGTGCTGAGGCTGTTCTGTCAGCTGTATCCTTTTTATATCCATCCCTCTAGCACTGTGGTTTGCAGCATTATTCACTAGTCCTCCCCTCGAGTCCTTCCTGGAGTAATACTTCTGGCAAATCAACACCTCTCAGAAGCGGCCGGCACCACGTCCCTGCGGCCTCTGGGTGGGGGGGCAGAGGGTGCTGTTTGTTGCCCTTGCCTCCAGGCACTGCGCCCCCCCCCTGTAGCTCCTATTGGCCGGGAACAGGGAACCGTGGCCAATGGGAGCTTCGGGGGAGGGACCTGGAGGCGCAGCAAGGGCAGCACACGTGGAGCCCTCCATGTCTTGTCTCCCTTCCCCCTCCCCCCCCCCCCCAGGGGCTGCCGCACTTCCTGGAGCAGCGCAGGGACAGGGCAGGCATACAGGGAGTCTGCCCTGGCCCCGGTGCGCTCCGCTGCCACCCCAGAGCCGCTTTAGGTAACCGGTGCCAGGCCGGAGCCTGAACCCCTCCTGCACCGCACCCCCCAACTCCCTGCCCTAAGCCCCCTGCCTGCACCTCACACCCCTCCTGCATCCCAACTCCCTGTCCTGAGCCCCCTGCTGCACCCCTCCTGCAGCCCAACCCCCTGCCCCGAGCCCCCGAACCTCTGTGCACCCCAACCCCCTGCTGCACCCACACTCCAACTCCCTGCCCTGAGCTCCCTTGTACACCGTGCATCCCTCCTGCACCCCAACCCCTGCTCTGAGCTCCCTGCTGCATCTGCACCCTTGTACACCCCAACCCCCTTCCCTGAGCCCCCCCGACACCCCACACCCCTCCTCTGCCCCAATCCCTTGCCCTGAGCCCCTTCCTGCACACCACACCCCCTCCCACACACCACACTCCCTCCCGCACCCCAACCCCCTGCCCCAGACCTACATACAATTTCCCCACCCAGATGTGGCCCTCAGTCCAAAAAGTTTGCCCACCCCTAGTCTAAACTGTTAGTAAGTATGTGTTATGTTTATATATAACATAGTTTAGGTAGGGTCTAAAACCAAGCAGTAGCTCTCTTTTGCTACAGAAGTTCAAACCAACACAAACCTTTTTGTATTTTAACCACAATTCTTTGAGTGGCCACATCAAACAGTCCCATGAGAAGAGAAGTTTTGTACAGGTAATAAGTGTGAGCTATGGTACAATTACTGCATATTGGCCCCCTCGAAAACTTAGGTCTCCTCAGTGATTGCAGTTATTTCCTTCCTAACAAAAGAGACAAAATGCATGGAGGGTTTCGTTCAGTCGTGGGGTGTGGGCTGAGAAAGCTGAGGAGCAGATGTTTCTGGGTAAATGAAGTCTATGACTAAGACAAATTCTCAGAGAGGAGAGAATGTATTGTGCTTATTTACCAAAGAATGAAAATATGAAAGATAACCAGGATGTAAACACAAAAATTAAAATGAAGCAAGGCTTCAAACAGTACCTTTGAAACTGTTTGTGAAAGTTCCTCAGTAGAACCCATGATATGAAGGGGAAACCACTTCTTAAATTCTGTCCTATCAAAAGCGTCTTCAAATTAGGTTGTTTTGAGTATGTCAATTAATTTACTATGGTCTGAGGGAGATACAGGGCTGGACTAGATCAAAAGACACCAAACAAAGCAATTAAAATTCAGGCTGAACACAGGGGAGTCTAATCTACTCTGTCCACATATCTATTCAAGGGACACCATCATAGGACCTAATCACATCAGCCACACGATCAGGGGCTCGTTCACCCGCACATCTACCAATGTGATATATGCCATCACGTGCCACCAATGCCCCTCTGCCATGTATATTGGCCAAACCGGACAGTCTCTACACAAAAGAATAAATGGACACAAATCTGACATCAGGAATCATAACATTCAAAAACCAGTAGGAGAACACTTTAGTCTCTCTGGTCACTCAATAACAGACCTAAAAGTTGCAATTCTTCAACAAAAATCTTCAAAAACAGACTCCACCGTGAAACTGCAGAACTGGAATTAATTTGCAAACTGGACACCATCAGATTAGGCCTGAATAAAGACTGGGAGTGGTTGGATCATTACAAAACCTAAACCTATTTCCCCCAATACTAATTTCCCCCTACTGTTACTCACACCTTCTTGTCAACTGTCTGAAATGGACCACTCTCATTACCACTTCAAAAGTTATCTTTCTTCCCTTGGTATCCTGCTAGTAAGTGAATTGTCTCGTTAGACTGACCTCACACTTGGAAAGGTAACGCCCATCCTTTCATGTATTTATACCTGCTCCTGTATTTTCCACTTCATGCCTCTGATGAAATGGGTTCTAGCCCACAAAAGCTTATGTCCAAATAAATGTGTTAGTCTTTAAGGTGCCACAAGGACTTCTCGTTGTTTTTGCTGATACAGACTAACATGGCTACCACTCTGTAATCTAGTAGCAGTCTCCCATGATGACTTTCCTATTTCTCTAGACTCTCCTCTTCTAATCCAAGAGTGCTACAGGAAACACTTGTGACTATCCAGTGAAAGCCAGCACTTGGTTCTCACATGGCCTTCATAAAAGTCTTGAATAATTCAAGAACTGCCACAGAGACAATGAGGGATACCAGTATTTGGGCAAGTTCCTCATCTAAGCTCACTCAAAACCATTGGTGGTACAACACACAACTACTACGATTTCCTTCCCTTAACCCCTGGTTTCATTACCTGTTCAGAAAATGGCCACCATTCCCCAGCACAGAAGACTTCAGTCATCAGGCTTAGGAGAGGACTGATCCATTTTATTCCTGTTAACCCAGCACAACCAACACAGCTCTGGGATGGTGAGCAAGGGCCTATTCTGGTTGCACTCACCCTCAGCAGAATTTTTAACCAAGCTCCAGTTGCAGAATCTTTCCCTCAGGCAGCCAGTTAGCCAGCTGGTCAAACACTTCTTGCTGCCAGAGCAGCACAAGGCAGCCAGACTGAGGAGCAGGGATCTAACCCCACCTGTTCTTCTGCATCTAGTATAGTACTGAACTCCATGTTGGGACTTACAAAATGGTCAGAATAATGGTAAAGTTAAAATGGATTTCAACTGGACACACGGAAATCCCCAGCCTCTCCATTTCTGCTTACTTTTGATTTCTTTTTAAATGATCACGGCATTCCTGCTGAATCACTTTTCTTCATTCCAGTCCTTTGTCTCTCCAAATACAGTGGTATACTGTTTAAAACTGGGCCACAGCAGCTAAAAAACAGTCCCACATCAGTGCTCTGTCAGCGAGTGCCTGACACAGGCAAGCCCATTTATGTAGGGTGAACAATGTTCCCTCAGCTTTTGAATAACATTTTCTGCTTAGCACAAATATTTGCATCTGTGTCTATTTCCTCCTCTGTTTCTCTCTCACGCTCTCCAATTAAAAGGTTTATTATTTGAAACTGAAGTTATAGTTGTATTGATCAGTATAGGACACACAAAAGCATTTGCCTTCATCCTTCTGTGCTTAGTGCAAGAGGTAAACGTCATAAACTCTTCTTCGCTTCTGCTGAACCAGCAGGTGCTCACACCAGCAGTAAGGAAGGATTTGGAGGTAGGTGTGCCTTCTTGCGGGATGTACTGACCTCAGCTTTTTTCTGGCACCTTAACCAAAATTCATCTCAGTCCTGTTCCTATTGGACAAGTATCCAAAATGACTTCACAAACAAACACCACCACTGCTGGTCATCTCAAGCAGAAAGGCCAGGGTTTCAAAGGGCACAAAAGTTGAACTAATCTATCACCCTCCAAGTTTGTTCCTCCAAATCAGGG